AAAAAAAATTAAAAAAGAACTTGCCTTTCTCGGGTCCTCTTAGTTAAGCCTGGTTTCCCTTAGAATCCTCTCTCAGGCCCAAGTCTTGGGAACAGAGGTGGGCACTTTCAGCTTTGTGATTTTAATATCCCATTCTGGTATTCAAAGTTGCCCTCAGGGTGTCACTGAAGGTATGGCCTCTAACAGGCAAGAAGGGGTAGAGCCTGAGGCTGGGGAAATCTGAACCACTCCTAAGAAGTTCTTTGAGGCTTTGGGCTAGATTTAAAATGCTTCCTGTTTACGAAAGAGGGACCCAGTGTAGGGGATGGATCCGTTGCAAGAATAGAGGTTGGGAGAGGGGAATTCTGAAATAATTTAGACGACCTAGGCCGGGTGTGGTATTTCATGCCTGTAATCCCAGCACTTTGGGAGGCCAAGGCGGGTGGATCACTTGAGGTCTGGAGCTCGAGACCAGCCATGGCTAACATGGTGAAACTTTGTCTCTACTAAAATTACAAAAATTAGCCAGGCGCCTGTAATCTCAGCTACTTCGGAGGGTAAGGCAGGAGGATCGCTTGAACCCAGGAGGCGGAAGTTGCAGTGAGCTGAGATCGCGCCACTGCACTCCAGTCTGGATGACAGAGCAAGACTCCGTCTCAAAAAAAAAAAAAAAAAAAAAAAGAAAAAAGAAAAAAAAATAGAAGGCTTAAGTATGGTTTAACTCTAGAAGCTGGATTTAAATAGGACGTATAACAGTTCACGACTGCAGAAAAACAGAGAGAATATGAATAGTTACCATCTATTGAGTGCTTATCAGGTGCCAGGCACTGTGCTAAACACTTCACATGCGTTATTTCATGAAGTCGAAGAACAGCCCTGTGAGGCTGGTGTTATTATCTCCAGTTAGAAGATAAGAAAACAGGAGGGTCAGAGAGGTGGAGCCACCTGCCCAAGGTCACACAGCTAACAAGCAACAGAGGCAGAATTTGAACCTAAATGGAGTGACTCCAGAACCCGCAGCATTAACCTCAGCACCAGTGTCACCAACTAGGCTAGGCATGATGGGAAAGTTAGTCTTGAGCTACAGTAGACAGAAGAATATCGATGTAGATACTTTGCCTTTACCACAGAAGTTCTCAACCCTGACTGGACATTAGAATCAGCAGAGAAACAGGAAAAAAACAAAACAAAACAAAAAAACCAGACTGCCACTTAATTACAGGAATTGAGGCTGCAGTGACCTATGATTGTGCCATTGCACTCCAGCCTAGGCAACAGAGCAAGACCCTGTTTCTAAAAAAAAAAAAAAAAGGCTGGATACAGTGGCTCACACCTGTGCTCCAGCACTTTGGGAGGCCAAAGCAGGAGGATTGCTTGAGTCCAGCAGTTTGAAACCAGACTGGGCAACATAGTGAGACCCTGTCTCTACAAAAACACTGAAAGATTAGCTGGATGTGGTGACACATGCCTCTAGTCCCAGCTACTTAGGAGGCTGAGGTGGGAAGATTGCTTGAGCCCAGGAGGTCAAGGCTGCAGTGAGCCAAGACTGTGCCACTGTGTTCCAGCCTGGGCCACAGAGCAAGACTCTGTCCTCTGCCCCCCTCCAAAAAAATGTTGGCCAGGCACAGTGGCTCATGCTTGTAATCCCAGCACTTTGGGAGGCTGAGGCAGGCAGATCACTTGAGGCCAAGAGTTCAAGATCAACCAGGCCAACATGGTGAAACCTCGTCTCTACTAAAACTGCAAAACTTAGCTGGGCTTGGTGGTGTATGCCTGTAATCCCAGCTACTCAGGAGGCTGAGGCAGGAGAATTGCTTGATCCTGGGAGGCAGAGGTTGCAGGGAGCCAAGATTGCACCACTGCACTCCAGCCTGGGCAAAAGAGCGAGGCTCTGTCTCAA